ATAAAACTAGATAAGGCACCTTAAATAGGCGGATGTAAGATATAAATGTAAATTTTTATCGATAGTATTTGAAGAATTTTGCAATACAGCTTAACTATCTATTTCATCATATTAAACTCGATTATAATTCTACACACTTCATCTTAAGTGATAAAAATTATCTATCAAAATAATATTTATATGAGATCAAATCTATATCTTAGTTAATATTAAAAATAATTAAAAATTAACAAAATATTATTAATAAAAAAAACATAAATCCACAAAAATATTTGAAAAACAAACATTGTTTAAAATATATTTTTTTATATATGGGGTAATCTCGTAAGTTAATTTTACCTCAATCAAACTAATTTTAAATGAGTTAAAATTAAGAAATAAAAATATACTAACTTCTCATTAAGTAATTGAAAAGTCAATCCTATAAGCTATTTTTTTCAAAATATTTGTGTTTTCACTTATGACTCCGTCAAAATTCTTAGAACAAAACATAAGTATAAGTTTGCGGTAACACATCGATGCAAGCCCCTCCATCATAGGATGCGTTAAAATTTCTAGAATAAAACATAAGGATTCAAAAATTTATTCTCATAAGCTCATTAATTTGTTTTTGAAAAATTTATATTTAATATAACGAGTAAAAATACTATCATACAATGATACATACAATTTTATCCAATTAAATTAATGTTAAATAAATTATATTGTTATATTAAACTTCCATGGCCATTTTAATTAGTTATTATCCACACTAAATGTTTTTTTAAAAAAATTAATATATGCTAAATTTAATTGACTAATAACACATGTAAAAACAAATTTGTTAATTTTCCTTTTTGTTAAGAAAAATATTTTTTTTTCGATATAGACATATAAATTAGTATATATATATTTTTTCCTTTTTTAATTTTTATATTTTTATAAAGGAAAAAAAAAAAGTTAACTTTTTTCTAACACATGTCAACATCAAATCAATAGACATGACACGTGGCACAATCCTATGAGTTACTAATTTTGAAAACCATATTTTGTATAATAAACTAGTTAAGAACTCGTCCGATGGACGGGTTTAGTTTTTTAAAATTTAAAATCAAATTTAACAAAAAATTAACTAACAAAGTAGAAAATTTCTTTCAAAAGCAAAAAAATATTTACTTTTTCACTTTAGCATTGTTTCTTTAATCACTAAAATTATTAATTCAAAATTATTTCGAATAAAAAATATATCACATAGTAATAACTCATGATATACTTATATGAAAAACTAAATTTAAAAAGGGGCTTTTGCAAAAATGCCATTTTTTCAATGCCACTTTTCAAAAATACCCATGTTTTAAAACCTTATAAAAAATGCTCTTAAAAATATAAGATTTACTCAAATATGTATGTAATATTATTAAAACATACACAAACTACATTTCTATGTATCTAAAATCTTATAAATACTTTATAAATACCTTATAAATGCATTTTAAATACCTTTAAAACCTTTAAAATATCTTGTAAAACCTTTGAAAAACGATAAAAATCCTTTAAAATAACTTGTAAAACCTTTAAAAACACCTTATAAAACCTTATAAATACTTGGATCGAGTCTTCAAGTAGTAATTACAATCCATAAGTACCTTATAAACCTAATAAAACTTTATAAAATTTTCAGATTTAAAAAGGGGCATTTTTGAAAATGGACATCGAAAAGGGACATTTTTGAAAAGGGGCACACCAAAAGGGGTATTTTTAACAATTTCCCATTTAAAATATTCATCATATGCAACATACATTCCTCATGGATCAAGGATTCACTTCACATTGGAGGAGCTTGGATCCTACAGAATCATTTGGGAGATGCAGTCTTTCATGCTCGGGATGCTTTTCTCCCAATGGTAAATAGATTAGCTGCGGAACTTCATGTTATATTTTGGTGTCTTAGGAGCTTACAGGAGCTGCGGATAGCTTCTTGTGAAGTGTGGTCAGACAGTCGTGCGGCTATTGATGCTTTAACTAATCCGGAAGAATACCCTAAGTGTATCGTTCTCAGATCATCAAGATTCAACAAGTAATACGGGTGATGCGGGAGGTTAGTTTTCACCTCTCTTCACCGAAAGCCAACTCTTTGGCCAAGGATATTGCTTGTAGTGTTAGTCGCGAAGGACGATTCACATCTTATCTAGCACGTGGTGGTCCGGCATGGTTACATAATCGGATTGAAGATGAACGGCGAGGCAGAAGATGAGCTTGGTTTATAACGTCTTCCTCTGTTTTTGGTTTGCGCTCCCCTGTTTTCATTTTTGCTCTATTTTTGTTTTGAATTATTATTGAAGACGACAAAAAACATAATATATTCATCATAAAGTTGGCAGATTAAACCAAAGTGGTGGGTTCGATTCTTATATACTCGATTGCAATAACTTTGTGGGTTCGATTCTTATATACTCGATTGCAATAACTTTATGATCAATCAATAAAAATTGATAAATTTAAAAAATTATAAGCACGATGATATATGAATCTTATATAATTCAAATATGAACATAGAAATTTAAATAAATAATTTTGAAATAGTATAATTAAATTCAAAATATCAAAAACAAAGAAGAAGCATATATGGTTCTTACATATTCAAGAATTTCAAATAAACAATATAAAATTTTACTTAAAATCATCACATATTTCTAATTAGAAAATAAAATTGATATAGATAATGTAAACTGAACGTAAAAAGCAAAATAATAATTTAAAATCATTAGAACTATGATATATTATAAATCTTATATAATTTAAACTGAACGTAGAAAGCAAAATAAATAATTTAAAGATATAATAATTAAACTAAAAATAAAAAAATTATAAACACGATGATATATGAATCTTGTTAATTTAAATATGTAAAAAGAAATTGAAATAAACAATCTAACAATACTACAAAGTCTACAATCATAATTGAGGACAAATAAAAAACATAGTTAAGTAAAAAGTATTACAAAAAGAAAAAAAATTGATCTCTCATATTTCTAATTAAAAAAATAAACTCAAATAAATACTATGAGGATTAGTTTAAATAAATCATCAGATATTTCTAATTAGAAAGGAAATTGAGATAAATAATATCAAATTTAAATTAAATCATAACAAATGATAAAATCTTTGACTGATAACGGTTCATTGTACTATTAATTACTAACTTTGAGAAATAAAAATATATCATATTAATTTTATAATAATATATGTTTCCTTTTTAATAAATTTGTCTGACTTTTTTCTTGTTTAATTGAAATATATATTTTTAATTATAAAAAACGTATAATTTCCTTATTATTATCTTTTGACATTTTTAAACTGTTTATAAAATATTAATTATTTATAATTATCTTTATAATTATCATTTAAATTTTTAAAATTATTTAAATTTATAATTACTTACAATTATCTTCTTTTTTTTTTTTTTAAAGTTGTTTTACACGTGTCAAAATCTAAGATCGATAGATTTGCCACGTGTCACGATTCTATGAGTTACTAACTTTGAAAACCATACTTTATATAATAAGAAGATACTTTGTATAAGAAGATTTGTAATCAATAAAATTTAATCCGCGCTATAGCACGAATCATGATCTGTTAAACTCTTACATAAATAGGTACTAAGTAGATGTTTCCATTATGATTACAAATTTCAAACTAATAACAAAGAAGTTACTAAATTTGAAAATACTAACACATTTCTCTAAATCGATTTTACATGTGCACTCCTCAAATCGTCTCAAAGACTCAAACCCTTTCTCTATCGATTTATATTGAGGGAGTGTGTGACCGTCAAAATCTCCGTAAAATTATCACTATTTCCACTTGTATAATGACATACGTAATAGTTACTTATATCCCTTGTTCTAAAAATCGGCCGCCTAGCCGCATAGGCGGCCGCCTAGGCGCTGATCGGAGGAGCACCGCGGCGATTTTGTCCAAATCGGTGAGAAAAATCGGAGATCCGATTTTTCGTCCGCCTAGCCCGCCTAGACGGCGCCTAGCCCAAATTTTTTTTTTTTTTTTTTTTTTTTTTTAAAATCTAAAATTCAAAACGTCCTACTTATGTTCGTAATTTGTATAAAAATCATAAATTTGAAATTAAAATCTTGTTTTCATGTGTTTAATACAATTTTTAAAACAATATTATATAAATTTCTTAATTATAATGGATTAATATGTTTTTAAAACATTAAATAACCCTAAAACTAATCCCCGATTAATCTCCGTGTAATCCCCGATTTTCTTGCTAGGCGCTAGGCGCACCCTCACCGCCCGACTAGCGCCTAGCGATTTTTTAAACACGGCTTATATCATGTGTTTGTCATACTGTTTGGTTTAAAAAAGCGTGTTAAATATGACAATTTTGCCACAAGAGAAGTCAACAAAGATTTTTATAAGATCAGTTAACAATTAATTGCTCTGCAAAATATCCAGTTTTTTTATGATCGAAGAAGTCTGTTAACATGATATCACTGCATTAGAGAGGATGTTAATTAACAAGAAGCATGTATAATTGAAGTATGTTAAGTCACATGATTAATCAATATTTACACCAAGCCTTTCAAACGCAAAACTTTTATCAAGATGAGAAGTTGCTTGAAGTAACGAAATCATATTCAAAAGGGAGTGTTGAATGGTAAACTTTATTTTTGAATAAGTTTCAATTGTTGGGTCATAGATTCAATTATCAGTTGGGCCAAAACCCAATTTTAATCCCCTCCCTATTATTTCTATACACCTGGTTCTTTTGATCAACGAGGGTTGATTATGAGGATCAACGAGAGTTTGATGGTGAGATCAACAAGAATTGATCAGATATTATTTTATACCCGTACGTACGCTCATATTATTTAGGGTTTCAGTCTTAGACCTGCCAAGCAAGCGCACCTGTCATGGCAAAGGTCAGATACATCACCTCCCTTTTACTTTATACATCTATTTCTTTACAGTTTGAAAGCTCAAACATAAACCTGTGCAAGTCTTAAATATATGGAGATATATTCAAGATTCTTGATATATGGGATCAACGAGAGTTGATTATAAGGATCAACGAGAGTTGATTAGGATATGAAAACAACGAGAGTTGATTATAAGGATCAACGAGAGATGATTAGGATATGGGTTCAACGAGAGTTGATTAGGATATGGGATCAACGAGAGTTGATTATTAGGATCAACAAGAGTTGATGATGAGATCAACGAGAATTGATGGTGAGATCAAACGAGAGTTGATGGTGAGATTAAACGAGAGTTGATAAGATGTTGTTTTATTGCCGTACGCTCATATTAACCTCTACAAGAATAGAAAAAAAGTTGACTTAGTAGACTTTAATCCAATATTACAAGATATGTAAGCAGAAGATCCGAAAGATTGAGAAACAGTAACAATGGTATCGAGAAACCCTAGCCGTAAAACAAAATCCTAGCTAGGCATAGAAAAGAACCCTAGACATAAATAAAATAAAAAAAAAAACCCTAGACATAGAAAATAACGTACCTCGATGACAAGCAAAACCCTAACAAGAAGATCATCGGTCAGACAAGGAGATTCCAAGGATAATCAACGAAAGCTACAAATAAAATCTCACAAAGAATTAATTGCAATTAGAAACCAAACTCACATGATATTACCAAGATCCTTCCTTTTTTCATTGCACACCAACTTCTGATTGTTGATCAACGAGGGTTGATTAGATAGATCAACAAACGTTGATTATGATCAAGGAGAGTTGATTAGTAATAGATCAAGGAGAGTTGATTAGTAATAGATCAACGAGAGTTGATCATGATGAGGATCAACAAGGGTTGATTAGAACTATATCAACGAGGGTTGATTACATATCAACGAGAGTTGATAAGATGTTGTCACACAAATTCGAGCAAAACCCTAAAAAGAAGATTATCGAGGAGATAATCAATGAAAGCAAGAAACGATCACCGACCACATTATATAGAGGGAGCAAAAACTATAATAACGAGTCGGTTTAAGATTTCGGAGAGATCCTACGGTTCCTATTTGTTTGTGTAAAGCAATCGACGGTGCAGATGAAAACACGATGAGGAAAAGTTGGTTTATAAATTATCAAAAGACAAAACCAAAGTCGGTTAATGTTCTCCAATGAATATCTTGGATTCACCAATGCTAGAGAGCCACGTGTCCTCCTTCCTTATAAATTAGCATTAGCTAATAAAAAAACCTTATGTGATTCTCGTGGGCTTTCTTTCGTCTTCACAAACTCAACGATGATTGGGCTGGGCCGTAGTATACTCTGAATTAACAACTTAAACGGCACCGTTTCAATGTCAGCAGAAACACTCACTGACCAAAAAAAAAACTCATACGCTGCTTCGAAATCTGGAGACTACTGAAACTAGAGATGAAAGAGATGTCTCAATGGTGATGACTAATCCACCAAATCTGTGCTCTGAGATTCGTTCGGTTAACTTTGGTTAGAAATATTTCTTATCAATCCGGTTCAACTTCGATTCCAGAGTCTCACTAGAATCTGAGCCTATCATGTAAAAGCCTCATAAGAAAGCAAAAATCACTACCAATATCAAAAACCTTAATAGACCAGCCTTTCCTCAGGTGGATAACATCATTACATTCAAAGATCAAGGTTCATTATTTGCACAACTTGAGAGTACTTACTTTACCAAACATGAACTAAAGCCGAGTTATATAGACATAAGAGATTGCCCAAAAACCACATCACATGAAGCAGATCACTCTTCAGATAATGGTCCAAGATAGTCACCTTCCAAGCTAGCCAACGCCTGAAACTCCCTCTCTGCCTCCATCCACTTTATCCCAATCACCACAACCCTCACTGTAGTCTCAACCTGAATCCTAGACGTCTTCTCATTCATGAAGATCGGGTTCTCTCCAGGGACATACTTGTAATCCGGCATCTTCGTGTAGGAGAGGTAAACATTCTCGATTGGACCACACCTCATGAAGACACCGTGCTTCAACACCTTGTGCACCACACCGTGAATTATCTCTCCTTTGAAGATCTTGAAAGTCATCCCGCTGAACATTACCGGGAACAAAACTTCACCGGTATGCTCCCTGATTTTGCCTTCTCCGATCTTGTCCAAAGTTGTGACTGCCACATAGTAACCAAGCTCCTTGGTCGCTTTCTTGGAAGCAAACGCGTCTAGTAACTCTACTAGTATAGCTCTCTTCAAAATCAGCCCTTTGGCATCCATGTTTTCAGCTGGAATCATCACGTTCCATGGTAACTGGACTTTGAGAAACATTGTTCAACCTTCAAAACCAAACCAAAACAATGTCAAATAGCTATCATCATTGATCCAGAGACTAGAAATACTTTACTATCATCACATTCTGAGAAAGAATCTTGAAAAAATCAGAACTGAAAGATCTTAGAGAAAGACAAAGGAAGTAGATAGTATTTTCTAGGTTTCTCTCTGAAACGAACATCTGGAATATACTAATCATCATCAATAACCAAACTTTCGTTTTCTCAGTAATTAATCCACAAGATAAGATCAAAGTTTCAGTTTTTTTTATTTCAAAGAATCTGGACACAATCTATACATGCATTAGCAACCTACCATTCCACCTATCTAAAGTACTCAAAAACAGAAAATCAGAAAGCAGTTTCACATCATACATCTACCAAGACGAACATTGAACTCAATCTAATTAAAATGTGAGCTTTTTCAGTAAAAAGTTCTTCTGTCAGGCATTTAAACAAACACTACGCAGGCATGTAAGTAACCAAGGGAGAATCATCAAAATTTACCAACTTTAAAAGACCCACTAAATCTTTCTATTTGCATTTACGATTAAGTACTTAGACAATCAATTTTTCCCACATTTTCTCTAGCAACCCATCATCGTCGAAGACCCTAGACTGAAAATGTCTGAAAAATAGGTTGAGAAAATCAGCAGAATGAAGAACCCATACCTTTGTTTGAGATTCCGAAGATAGAAAACGAAACGAGAATCGGTAATAGAGAGTGAGACTGGTTGTGGAGAATCAACGATGCGAGAGCTGGGAGAGAGAGAGAGAGACAAACTTTCTATAGACTGAGAAGTGAGAACATTCGAAGAGACTTCAGTTTTGGTTATTTAAATAATGATGGGCTGCAAAGGCCCATTATTACTTAGACCCACTAGTATTCACTTTTTTTACCTGAACGCAACGTTTGAAATCAAATAAGATTGTTTTTTGGGTAGAAATTGTTAAAAATGCTCCTTTTCAAAAATACCTCTTTGAGAGTCTATTTTCAAGTTTGCCATCTTTTAATTTTTAATGACCATTTTACCCTTATTTGAGACAAAATTAGGTCCACAAAATACAAAATATTTTTTGGCAGAAAAAGTTATCCCGCAATTTTCCCGCCAAAACACTTGTAAAAACCTTTAAAATACCTTGTAAAATTTTCCCGTAAAAATCCAGCCAAAAATTTTTTTTATTGGAAAAGTGATTCCGCAATTTTTTTGGAGAAATTTTTTTGGCGAGAAAATTTTTGCCGGGAAAAATTTACAAGGTATTTTAAAGGTTTTACGGAGTATTTACAAATGTTTTGTAAGGTTTTACAATGTATTTTAAAAATTTTACAAGGTACTTATAAGGTTTTATAAGGTATTTATAACTTGTAAAACCTTAAAAAAAACTTGTAAAACCTTATAAAATAGCTTGTAAAATCTTATAATATCTTATAAATATCTTATAAATATGTTGTAAAACCTTTTAAAATACATTGTAAAACCTTATAAATATCCTGTAAAAAACCTTTAAAATACCTTGTAAATTATTCCCGCCAAAAATTTAACGCCAAAAAAATTGCGGAATCACTTTTCCCGCAAAAATAATTTTTGGCGGGAAAATTTTTTGGCGGAAAAAAATTTTACGGGAAAATTTTACAAGGTATTTTAAAGGTTTTACAAGTTTTTACAAGTGTTTTGGCGGAAAAAATTGCGGGATCACTTTTCCCGCCAAAAAATATTTTGTATTTTGTGGACCTAATTTTGTTATATTTCCTTATATATTTGTGATATCTTTTATTAAAAGAAGGGTAATTTAGTCATTTTATACATAAAAAGGGATATTTTTAAAAATGGACAGCCAAATGGGGCATTTTTGAAAAGGGGTATTGAAAAAGGGGCATTTTTGTGAGTCTCCCTTGTTTTTATCTATTTTATTTTTTATATATTTTTTCAAAAAATGGGAATTGTTAGGATGTAATTTACTACTCCCTCCGTTTCAAAATATAAGGCGTTTTAGCTAAAAGCACGTCGATTAAGAAGATCTACTTTTTAAAAGTTCAGCCAATCATAAAAGAGACTGCATAATAAAAATAATCATAAAATATTAAAGTAATATATAATTTGCATAGAAACTTGAAAACGATTTATATTTTGAAACAAAAGAATTTCTCCAAAACGCCTTATATTTAGAAATGGAGGGAGTATATTTAAAAGCCTTGAAAATTTGTTTCTCATAAATCTATTTAAATTAGATTAACTTTTTTTAGTCTTATTCGAAGTTACTTTTTCTTCTCCAAACTGATATTAAGAAATACAAATTCCCTACCAAAAAAAAAGAAATACAAATTAATTTCTATTTCCTTTTAATAAAAAAGTTATAAATAATAATATTTTCCCTTATTATTAAGTTTTTAATTTTTATAAAATTTTCTTTATTTATTGAAGTATATATTTTTAAATATATACTATATAGGTTTTAGTCTTTTTGTTTATTTATCTAATTGGAATAAGTTTTTTTACATGCAAAAATATCATCAATTGATTGACACATGTCGGGAATAAGAGAAAAATCAAAGGTCATGATTTCTTCAAAAGTTCTAATCTTTTTTTCTATTCTTTACACAAAATTCATGTTTGTGAATTTATTTCGTTTTTGTATTTAGCAAAAAAAATAATTTAAAGAAAGATTTAGTCAAAATAATAATTATTTTTTTTTCAATAAATCTTTTACCAATCCCGCTAGTTTTCAGGGGAAATTTGATTGTTTTGTAGAAAAAAATATTTCCTATAAATTTATCACAACTAAATTATTTGGATTTAGGGTTTCTAGTTTTTCAGAAAATCAGGAATAGAAATTCATAAATATTCGACGGTTAAGGTAAGGGAAAAAAAAAGGGAACTTGGTTCAAATTTCTGCTTACTAATATATTGCAGCTAAGTAATTAATTTTGACTTACACTATACCAAAAAAAAAGGAGAAAAAAAGGAGTGCATGCGTCAAAATCAAATCATATAAAAAGGACACAAAGAAATAACAAATACATTTTCAAAGCAAATAAAAACTTCTGTCTGATTTACTTTCACACAAAACTGTCTTGGAAACATATGCATAAGTCAAGAACTAACCGTTATAAACGCAATCCCACCGTTGATAATCTAGCCAGTAGTACCATGAAGCTCTCCGCCAAATTTCGTCCCGATTAGACGCTGTTTCGACCTCCAAACGTTGCCATCAATCACCCACCAACTGTTTTCTAGTTCATACTCAGCATAGATTTGGACAGTGTCTGCAGTTACTTGGCGAGAAAGAAATATTTAAAACGTCTTAAATATAACTTCGATTTAATCTCCGCCACATGCTGTGCATTCTAGACAATATGAGCTTTTCAGAGACACTTTACAGGTCAACTGATTCTCTCTGCTTCGAAAGATATGAGCCTTACAAAACTCCAACTTGAATCTGAAATTTTATCTGAAATAACTTAAGTTTTCCAGAAATCAGAACATGTGATTTTTCAACAACTTACAAGACGAATTTTGAATGGAATATACCTCCGTTTGACAAACCGTCAATTGCTATGGCTTCCTTGAAGCGAGATCTATTCATAGAGATCAAAATATCAATATAACTCTTTCAACGTCAATAGGAAATCAATCCTCAAAACCTCTACTTGAAACTGCAATTTTTCTCAAAGCTCTTATGCATGTGTAAACGTAAAAAAATTTGCGCTCTTTTGAAAAATGGATGAACTTATAATCTATAATCTGATGATCGAGTCGATTCCATGATTATAAGTTCATTCCATACCGGACCAGACCGGAATAAGGTTATGAGCCTTGCGAGCTACCAAACTGCTCTACTCCGCGCTGAAACAAAAAAACTTGGACTAAACTCTAATAAACAAAGAAGAATTGAAGGAGCCCCTACCCGGCCCAACATTCTTGGAAAACTAAAGAATCGAGGGTCCAAAAGAGAATTGGCCATTTAATCTTGTAAACTAATCGAGACCGAAATTGGAAAAAGAGCATGAGTCATATATTCTGCCGAACGTCGTTCTTGCCAAGGTTGTATGTCTTTTTTCAACCTACTCAAGTCCAAACCGTTAGGACCCCTTAAAGGTTCTAACCAGGGAGCACGCAGATCCCAAAAGCGCATTGTTTCTCCCGATAACTGTGACTTTTCGCCAACTTTAAACACGATTTCCTGATCGACCTTACCTCTGATTGAGAATCAGAAAACTGTTCTGAAATCTTGGCAACAAGGGCTATCCAGATCCGTAAATAAATTGCCTTAATTTACTTCAGACGTATCAATAAACGGGTCACCAAATCCACTACTTGACATTGTTTTCTGCTTTCACTCCTTCACGAGAAAAACCAATAATTGATACCTAAGCCACGAATCCAATAGCTAAGGGAGACAATTCCAATAGGATAAGACATAACTATGATAGGTTTTACTCACCTAATCAAACCGGTGTTGAATGGTGACGATATGTCATGTTTGCTTTCTCTCCCCACTTAGACGTGATCAAACGAAACACAACGTACGGCAGCTCCGATCTCAGCGTCAATGGTGATGAAGGCTTGGGATTGAGATGAGTGATGAGAACGTGATGGATATAATGAAGACGTGAGAGGCTGATGCGGTGAAGACGACACTATATACATATTACATACACACGTTTTAGGGTTTAGTGGTTTTGTTCATGGGCATGGGCCTCACAATAAGGAGTGGGGTGTTATAATCTCCCGCACTTAAATGAAATTCGTCCTCGAATTTTTGGGGTGATTTTTTTCTAGAGAAAAGAATTTACCTACCACTTATTATACGTATATCCAACGAACACCTCCCCCACTCATCCAACGAAAACGGAGAATCACATCTTTGACGAAATCGGATTTGGCGGGAAACGCGGAATCTCGTTTTTGGCGGGGAAACTTGGAATCACGTTTTGGCGGGAAAACACGAAATCACGTTTTTAGTGAGAAAACGAAGAATCGCGGTTTTGACGAAATAACGTTTTTGGCTGGAAAACCCCTGATCATCATGTTTATGGTGGAAAATAGAGAATCGTGTTTTTGACGAAATCACATTTTTATCGGGAAAACGCGGGATCACGTTTTTGGCGGGAAAACGCGGGATCATGTTTTTTGGCGGGAAAACGCGGGATCACGTTTTTGATAGGACCATGGAGAATCAAGTTTTTGACAAAATCATATTTTTTGCGAGAAATCGCAGGATCACGTATTTGGCGGAAAAACGCGAGATCATGTTTTTGGCGGGAAAACGGATAAATATCTAACAATTGGGAGGAATAGGAGATTTTTGCACGAGAAATTGGGAGGAAGCAGATATTTTTGGTTTTGATCAAAGGTGGAGATTGAAAGAGTTGACCAGCCCAAAAACAATATCTTCGTGGGCCTAATCACATGGGCTTCGTACTCTACTTGAAAACCAAATAAAATAAGACTTGTGTACAAAACCTACTAAGAAAAAGAGTCATAATAATAACCCTATTTAACAAGTTAGGTTTAGTCTTCCTACGTTTTGTGCTGCGAGAGTTTTACCTTCTGTTCTTGTAATTCTCTTTAAGAGCTAGGTTGAATTTTATTGCTGCGTACTAGACCATTATGGCTATTGTTCCTCCACCGGAAGCATATGCTCACGCCCTCTCGTATGTCCTTTTGGACATCGAGAATTGTATGATTCCGCATGATTGTGATGCCTACACGGTCCCCGCAGCCATCACAACAACAATGCGAGAGTGGGGTTACCGGGGGCCTGTACAAATTGTTGCTGTGGCTGCAAATAAGAATCGGGTGAATTCCACAATTGTGGATGTGTTGAGGGCAAATCACGCCAAGGTTATTATTCTTAAATCCGATAAGAAACAAGCGAGCGATAATCACATCCGCTACTTGGTCTCTATTTGGACGTCCAAACATCACCCTCCCGCCAATATATTATTGATATCGGGAGATGGCGGTTTCGCAAAGACTATTCGTCACCTTATTAGACGCAGATACAACTGTATGCTTGCGTACATTACTGATTCGGCTTCGCATAAGCTTGACGGTCTTGGGTCAAGACACACAGAGTGGAGAACCCTTCTTCGTCTGTAATGGATAGCAACGGTTGGTAGCGTGTAGATGAGAGATTTTCTTTCTAATTTTCTTATGTTCAGTTTCTAAGCCGATTTTCTTCTGTCCTGTTTCTAAGCCGCAGATTCTGTTCTTCCATATTTTGTAAAACCCGAGAATCTGTTTTGGTCCATTGGGGATTGTTTTTAAATAAAATAATTAAAAGAAATGATAAACAAAAATTCAAAAGTCAAACACCAAAAAACTTTTATAACAAATGTGACTATGAGGACTCAAATTAAAGGTTGGCAACATCTCTACTCTCCTTCTCTTATTTGGTTTTTGTATTTAGATTGGAAGAGTATGTATGATTGAGCACTTCAGAAAAATCTAAACCTTTACTTTTGTATCATTAATAATATCAAATTATATTATAGAACATTGTCCTTATTTTTGTTTTTTGTTTTTCAAAAAGAAAATTTCACCAATAAACTCATTAACAATACACATACATAATACATATTTTCTTAACTTAACTAATATTTTGAACTTCAAGCCCACAAACATGGGTAAAGAAAATTCCAGCAACAATTGAACATAATAATAAGCCCTATAACATTATTTGTGCACCACATAGTAATTGATTTGTTTTAGCTAAATATTGATGGGTGTGAATAGCTTAAGACGAAAAAGCAAGGAGCAAGTCAAGAATAAAGAGCAATAGATGAAGATAAAATAGTTGTGCCAAAAAAAAAAGAAAAAAAAGGATGAAGATAAAGTAGAACGAAGACCAAAGAACAACATATAGTGTGAATTTTCATGGAATGTGACTTTATTAGATGTGTTGTCTCCTTTCTAATTTCTATATCAATATAAGATTATTGTGTAGTACACAAATTTCTTAATTTGATTGGTTATTTTCAAAATTTAGTAATGATTAGATAGGATTTCGTGAACTATGCTAACAAGAAGAAAAAACAAATAAAGTAACACAAGTAGGAGGGTCACCGACGATGGTATATGCGTTTCAAGACTGATGCGATTCATATTCATGTTGAGTGTGATTAGCTTCGTTTCAAAACACAAGTCGGAGTCAGAAGGTGTTTGCGGTGGTGCTGCAAGTTTTTTTGCTTCTTTTTTATATATTTATTTTCTTACGACTATTTCCTTATTTACGTAAAAATGTTATATATGTGCATCTAAGTTTGCTTAAATATATTCAATTATATATTTAATTTCACTTCCACTTTTTAAAGTGAAAATTATTGTAGTATCCGATTGTACAAATTTAGATAGTTTTTACAACTTATAGATATTTTTTTAGTCAAAAAGGATTAAAATAATATATAAATTTCCATTTAAACAAATAATTTAGTATACTATATTCCTTCCAGAATCAATTTTCTTTTTGTCAATATCACGTTTTTCACTTCTTTTTTTTGTGGAAAACATAAAACCGAGTTATTTTTGATGTGAAGCGTCGTGTTTTGGCGGAATAATACGAAATCATATTTTCTTTCTAAAATACGCAATCACGTTTTTGGCGAGAAAACATGGTATAACGTATTTGGTGGGAAAAAGTAGAATTTTATTTTAGTGTGAACACACGATTCTAGCCAAAAATGTGATTCCGTATTTTTTGGCCAAAAATGTGATACCGTATTTTCCGTTAAAACCTTGATTCCATAAATTTCTACCAAAAACTTAATTCCATGTTTACTCCCCAAAAACGTGATTTCGTATTTTCTCGTCAAAATCTTGATTCTGCATTTTCTTGCCAAAAACATGAAATCGTGATTCTATATTTTCCCGCCAAAAACATGAAAATGTGATTCCACAGTTTTCCCGCCAAAATGGAATTACATGTTTTTCCTCCAAAAACGTGATTCCGTATTTTTCATTAAAAGTGAAATTTTGCAGTCAAGTTCTCAACAGCTCTTTGTATTTATTTTTGCTTCTACACCTTCTAAAAGCTTCCCAGACGACCTATGGTGCACCTTTCCCCACTTGATCATGCGAAGACCAAACTTGCCATCTTTGGATCCACGGACCTTAAATTCACAACAGCTCTTTCCTTGTCACTGTTGCTACATTTTGAAGACCCCCACACGTCCCAGAATGTCCCAAGAAGTCTCACCTTTCATCCCAAGCTTTCAAGATACAAGAAAGAAGATATTTCTTTAGTTGACACGATTTCGCATTCAAATTCCCAACGACTCTTTGTATTTATTTTTGCGATTGTTTTATTGGTTTAGCACCTTAGGATCGTTGTCTATGAGCTATAAAATCTCAGCTCTTAGTTCATTGTAAATCACCCTTGATCGATTTAAAAGTTAATGCAAAAGTACTTTTTCTTCAGAAATTTGTGAGTTCTTTGTGTTTTTTTATTCCTTAGTTCTTTGTGAACGATTCACAAGTCTATTGAATATGTAGAATAAGTTGTTTGAGTTATTCAAACATGACGATGGTAATGCATTTCAAGACTGATGCAATTCATGTTAATGTTGAGTGTGACTAGCTTCGTTTAAACTACAAAGAACACAAGTCAGAATCAAAAGGTGTTTGCGGTGGTGCGGCAAGTTGTTTGCTTCTTTTTTTATCATTATTTTCTTAAGACTATTTCCTTATTTACTTATATATAGATATTATATATCTGTATTAATATTACTCTTTTCTAAGTTTGCTTAAATATATTAAATTATATATTTAATTTCACTCCCACTTTTAAAGATGAAAATTATTGTATTATCCGAGTTTACAAAATTAGATTGTTTTTACAACTTATTGAATTTTTAATATATGGAGGATTAAGTATACTATGGTCCTTAATTCCATAATCAAAGTTTTTTTGTCAATATCACAATTTTCATTTCTTTTTTTTCTGCTAGAAAACGTTAAACCGCGTCTTTCTGGTAGGAAGCGTCGCGTTTTGGCGGAGTATCATAAAATCAATTTTTTTGGTAAAATACGGATTCACGTTTTTTGGTGGAAAAATACGGTATCACATATTTGGTGGGAAAACATATAATTCTATTATGGTGTGAAAACACGATTGTAACCAAAAACGTAATTCTGTATTTTGCGGCGAAAAATGTGATTCTGTATTTTTCCACTAAAAACTTGATTTCGTATTATTCCACCAAAAACGTGATTCCGTGTTTTCTCGCCAAAAACGTGGTTCATTATTTTTCTCGTCAAAAACGTGATTCCGCATGTTCTCGCAAAAAATATGAAAATGTGATTCCAAGGTTTCCCGTCGAAAACATGAAAATGTGATTCCACAGTTTTCCTGCCAAAACGGAATTACGTGTTTTCCCGCCAAAAACGTGATTCCGTATTTTCCGGGAAAACAAAAAATTTTGCATTTTTCCGCCAAGAGTTTGAAAATGTGATTCCGTGAAATCATGATTTTACGTGTTTTCTTTGTTTGTTAAAATCATGTTTTCCATGTATTTTCCTGCTAAGATTGAGTCTTTTTTTTTTCAATTAATTTTTTTTCACGTTTTTTATCAAGAAAAATATGATTCCGTGTTACCATGTCCATCAGTTATTATCTAATCGAACTTAAATTGTCTTATCATTCTAAAACATAGGGTAAACTGATCGTACCCAAAACGTATTACCATTCATAGATTTGACTAATCACAACGTATCCAAACTACTATGTTCCCACATTTAAATCAGAGACACCCAAATCGGAGTACTATTCGAAGCCTACAACCAAGTGTGAGATGTCAAATTTAATCCAAGATATCCTGCATTAGGCGACGAAATTCTCTTCAATATGATTTCGTTATACAAGTACAACCTGTAAATGCGCGGGAGATGGACATGTTAAGGCACTTTTGGCCAAACTTCGGACAATTTAGGCACTTTCAAAACATGAGGCACTTCTCCTTCTTTTTGGAGACGAAAATGATGCAACTGCCCCTCCGTAAAACCAACTCGATTTCTCGCGCTTCCGGTTCGGCTTCTTGGTTTAGAGTGGCGACGTGGGAGAAGATGAGAAGAAGGAGTAAAAAAGAACGGTCAGGATTTTGCTAATAATTAATAACCTAATGCGTAATCTAGGCCGTCGGTAAGATTGAAGCGGACGGCGGAGATCTGAGCGCAGGAAACAGGGTACCAACCTTACGTACGGTCCGATGCAAAGTCTGAAATGGATTCCAAAGAGGATTAAGCTAAAAAAACCTTTTGTTTTGGATAACAAAATCTCTGTAAGAGAAATTAGAGATGGACGTAAGTTTTACACATCCACAATCTTTACTTTTTAATTCAGGTTCTGCTCAATGGAACTAACACAATTTTCATGGTTTATATGACTAGGGTTATCTGGACGAGTTCTGTATCGTAATTTGTGGAGAGTGGATTTGTTCTTCGAATGGTGAATTGGAAGTTGGAGATAAGCAACAAACATTTCTCGCGGGTTGTTCCTATCCGTGAGGGAATAAAATTGTCAGAGTTGAAAGAAGCCATTGTGGAAGAGTTTGGAGTGAAAGCGGTTAAACCTTTGCTCAGTTATTCACTACCCAATAGGAGTATACTCTCAACAAAGGAAAAGACTCCACCTGTTCTAGTTAGTAGTGAGGTTGGCCTTCTGTTCTATTTAAAGGCTCTTAAAGAAAACATGGGACTTAACTTGTTTGTAAGTTTGAGGAATGTTCTAATAGATATAAACTTGGGGAAGAAACTCTGGAACAAAACAAAAGTGGTGAAACCCTTGGAGGAAGTTGTAAAAGAAAGAGTGATTGTAGTTATGATACTGGAAGTGGTTCAAAAAATTGTGATGCAAATGCTGGGGATATATCTTCTGCAGGTTCAAAAACTCCTATTGTTATGGTGATTCCTCCAGATGATGACTTCTTTGACGAATTGCTAGAAGTAGAAGCGAAAATAGGAAGTTGTAGTGGATTGAAATCGGCCCCAGTTGATATAGACGATGAAGATGATATCATTGATGTTGCTGATGAGTTCTTTCTAGAAACAGACACAGAGGTTAATGAAGAAAAAAAAGACTTGTTTGATGATAGTATCCCCTGTGGCGGTTATGATAAAGACTTTTGGAGAAATTTCCTTAGAGATGTCCATGGTGGCTCAAATGCTGAAGAGGTAATGAGTACAGGAGGTTTAGATGTCAGGTATCGGTCGAATCATAAGGAAGCTGGAAATCTGGGAAAAGAAGATGATTTGGTTGGATCTAAGAAACCAGAAGTTGTTATGTGTACCGGAAGTGGGGTATTTGATCACGTTGTATTTGTGAATGGGGGTGGATCAGGGCAAACCAGATACACCACCCAATTCAATTAGGGAAAATCTCAGGGGTTGTCCACCAAACACAGTCCATAATTCATACTTTTGCTTGGTTATCCACCAAACACAGTCCATAATCAAACTTAAATTGTCTTATCATTCTAAAACATAGGGTAAACTGATCGTACCCAAACCGTATTACCATTCATAGATTTGACTAATCACAACGTACCCAAACTACTATGTTCCCACATTTAAATCAGAGACACCCAAATCGGAGTACCATTAAGAGCCTACAACCAAGTGTGAGATGTCAAATTTAATCCAAGATATCCTGTATTAGGCGACGAAATTCTCTTCAATATGATTTCGTTATACAAGTACAACCTGTAAATGCGCAGCTCATAGTTTGTAATTTATACTCTGATTCAGTGAACAAGCCAGCGTGGCTGCAATATCACCATGTCTAGGTAGCTTACTTCTTTGGCCTCTTCAGCTTCAGCTCTCTAGTCTTTGCACCTATAAAATCAACCAATCTCAGTTTTTTTCCCAAACTAGAAGAACCAAAAAAACATATTATTAGTCCTATTAGATTTTCAGCAGAAGCTTAATCAATCTCAAGAAAATGAATATTCCGGTAACTTCTTCCTCTGATACCATTTCTAGTAACGCTGTTTCCGACAATCGCCGTCATGTAAAGAAAACTCCGATCATCTTCTCCGACTTTTTTCTTTGTTTTTCCTCTTTCTGCTTCGTTTTTGTTAAGATGATGATGATCCACTGATTTCAGAAGACCGTATAGTTCTATATCTTCTACTAGTACTCAGTAGCTCAGAGGTTTTAGTAAATTTCGATTTTGCAATTTATTTTTTTAACTCTTTTGAGTTTTCTTTTATTGGACAGATCTCAAATCTGGAGAAACTTTGAATTTTCTGCTTCACTTATATAATGTGTTGCAAGAAAAAAAAAAAGAAAAAAAAACCTAGCTAAGATAGCATCATAACGCAGTACCAAACATTCAAACTTTTTAATGCATCAACCTCACCATTATTTTTTACTGTATCAGTTCATCACTACAGAAATTGGAACCATCTTTCTCGCATTATTATTAATCATCTGACGACCAGTAAAAACGGTAATCAAACATACTATCCGGTTACTATATCCGACCTCCACTTGATGGCATCACCATGTCTAGTTAGAACAACACCCCATGGCCCATGTACTATTTTTCTTCGTCTAGTCAAGAGTCCTCTTCTAGATGAGGCATTCGGTATCCTCCTCTACTTTACCTTCTTCAGTGTCCTTCTCTACTTCAACTTCTCCAAGCTTCCTCTTCTTGCTCAGTTTCTTCAATGTTTTTGCATCAACAAAAGTTAGTAAATCCAAATGCACATCAAGTGGAAATCAGATGTATTTTCTTTAAAGTGAGAAAGGGAAACTTGAGGCAATTGTAGGTTCCAGATTTTAAAAATTAGAAATCTCAACTTGCCTTGAATTGGTTAAGCTTCACCACATCTACCATTTTCAAAGTCTCCAAAGCCTGCAAGACAACCAAATGTACATCCCGTGGAAATCAGAGATATTTTCATTGAAGTGATAAAGGGAAACTTGAGGGATATGTATTTTTGGAAGCAGATATGATCCTTACATTGTGTGTATGGTTGTCACTCTTGAGATGCGTGCTGAAATCTTCAAAGCTTTGTCCAGCAAAATCACACATAGAGCACGACCAGGGAGATTCACCCGTTTCACTGCACTTGTCCTGAAGAACAAGTCTTGTTGTCAACTTTTTATCAACCGCAGACACTGAATCCATATCATCTGTTGAAAAAACAAACTAGTTCAGAAACAGCTTTGCTGGTTATATTAAAGCTGCGTGAGAGAGAGGGTAAGGAAAAACACCTAGTAAGCTTTTCCAGAGCCACTCTTTATAAACCCCAGACAAAAAGCTTTCCCAGAGCCAGTCTGGAGCTGGATGGCGTTGAGGATATGACAGAAGAAGTGTGTATCCATCAATATCTAGGCCATAAAGAGTACGAGCTAAGCTTTCCAGTTCCGTAGGACCAGATATGAGCAGTATATTAGCCGGAGGTGGATTCCTCTCAGTCCACTCAGACAAATCCGTTTGAAGTTCTGTTTCAGTAACGAAAAGCTATGTCGAATCGAAACTGTAGTGTAGAAAATGGTACTAAACCTATAGAAAGAGATAAAAGAAGAGTAACCTTCCGCATGTATTAGAGCAACTCCAGTGGAAGACAGCTCTCGCAAGACATCATTGTCAGGGGCATTAGGGTCGTGTGTTAGTCTGCCAATGGCAGTTATGGTGACAGGACCAGAGACTTTTGAATTCATCAAGGCGGAAACTATTCTCGGACCGACCTGACGGGGATCATAACCAGGTGGAATCGGACAGCTGCTAATGTTCCACCACACCAACGTTTTCACCTCCTCCTCTTCTTCCTCTTCCTGCATTGCCGTGAACCATCTCGTATTTATTTACTATACAAACCTAAGAAAATCAAAATCATCAGATTCGAAACAAAATCGCAGTTAGGTCTCTAATCTACAACTTAAACCTTCACCAATCAAACATCATGAGATAAGTATTCGGAGAGATTTGAGACGGTTAATCAAACATCATCAGATATAGTACTCGGAGAGATTGAGACGGTTAATCAAACATCATGCGATATAGTACTCGGAGAGATTGAGACGGTTAATTCAAAATCACCTACCTCGTTTGTCGTCGAATCTGAAACGTCAGGGAAAGAAGAACGATGGAGCGGTCGAAGAGGAAGAGAGACTAGAGGAACGATGGTCTTTCGGCCGAATCTTATAGGGTGTATGTATACAGAGTTGGTTTTTATGGGCCGATACGCGTGGCCCATTAGTCACTGTTCCAACAAATCCTTATACAATTTACTGATTTCCAAATCTAACATGTGGAATATTTATTTTATATAAAATTCACTTATGATTTTTATTTTATTTAAAAACTAGGTAGTTTTCCATTGTGAAAGATGAAATTTTTAAAAAAATTACTAATTCCAATTTAAAACAAGATTTTTCTATTATTCTATAATATATATGCATGATAAACATAACCATTATAAATTACTAATATTAATTAAATTGATATTTTCGAATTACTATTGTTATAATCATCACTCATGTTTTTATGTTGATTGGTTGAAACTTGAAATTGGTAAGCCTTTTTTTTTTTTAACTAGATAAAGATTCGCGTATTGGTGTAAAAAAATAAATCTAAATTTTTATTAATGATAAACCACAAATTTTTTATATTTAATTTGTTACTTTTTTTTTTTTGTCTCAAACCCTATTGCAAATTAGATATTCTATTTTGTAACTATCTATTTCATCATAATAAACCATACATATGCACTACATCTTAACGTATAAGAGCTAATAAATTTATATCAAAAATACTTTTTGCATCATTTCAAATCAATACCTTAGTTAGTATTAAAAATAAATAACAAAACAATATTAGTAAAGAAATAAAATACACAAAATTTTTGGAAATTAACATTTTTATAACTATAAATCTTTTACATCTCATAATCTCATAAGTAATAGTTTTAACTTATATTGAAATTAATAAAATAAAACATGAATATAGATATATTAACATTCCCATTAAGTAATAGGAAATAAATATATAACCGTGTTTTGAGGTTTTGTTTTTAGTTTATATTTTTGACAATATGAGAAGATTTTTTTTAGTAATAATTTGTGACTGTTTGTGACTAATTTCCATCATAGTGAGTGATGGACTTGAGCATTATGATAGTCATAAATCACCACAGATCGCACTTCACC